AAGTTTTTTCCGTGCCTTTTGGGGAGGCTCAGAGAAAATTTCTCAGCAGTGCGGAGGCCTTTTCCGAGCCTTCTGAGAAGTCCTTCTCTTTCTCGTTTCCCCCCTCGCTCGCCGCGAGTATGCGTCCCACGCGCCGCAGCGCTGACAGCACTGCAGGGTCAGGAGCATCACGGTCGAGGGTCATCTGGAGCCCGCGGCGCCAGAGCGAGGGCCACCATCGGGCCAGCCGTTATGTGTTCGAGCAGTGGCGAAGCGTCCTGGCTTGCCTAGGGCTTATAGGCCCACCAAATAGTGTTCCAAGAACCTTCTGTGGTCTGCACACTGCTGGGTTCTAAGAACACTTCTGGGTTCTAAGAACATTCCGTGATAGGCCTACAGGAATGCCGGGGAGGTCTGTCCCTGCTAGAATAAATTGACGTGCATGTGGAATAAAGGGTATGGAACGTTCTGGATTCTCTCATGATGGACCTGAGCCTGAGTGCGATGATCTATGATGGGCGGTGTCTCTTCAAAGTGCTACTCTCGCCTGAGAGTCCTGCATGCCGAGCCATCTGTCCCATACGTGAGAACAGCATCTTGTTGCCGCGAGTTGCCCGCACGTGGCTGGTCGTCCCAGCCGGAGACGGAGAAGCGGATCGGGAAGGGGACAGAGAGGCGAAGAGGACGAGTGAGCAAGGAAAGGGAACAGCAGATGAGGGGAGAGATGCTACAACAGCCAGCCACGCGCAGAGGGGGGTAGGGAGGGGGGGGGGGAAGGCTTCTTAGAAACAGCCTCTTTCTAAGACCCATTCCCCCCTATCCTGTTGTGCGCGCCGCCGAACTAGACGCAGTAGTGGAGGAGCTACGCGATTTTTGCACTCAGCCTGGTTCCAGGCCAAAGCATTGTGCTCTGCTCTGCGGTGGTCCACGCCACGAGTTTTACACAGCCTGGCACGAAGCCAACCGTTCATAGCCGTGGACAGGGCCAACGCAGTCAACGCCGCCTTGCCCAGGGTTGGTGGTGCCATGATTGTGCGCGTAGCCGTGTGCGGAGTCACGTGGGCCGTGATGGTATTCTATGTTGCGCTTGGTATTCCGTTCTGCGGCGGGCGTTGGGTTTGAAATGGGGTTGGACGATCTGGATGCTGCGATTGCAGCAGATCGCACACCGCGTATCGCACACTGCTTGAAGAGGTCGCCAGGAGGAAAAAGACAAGACGGAGGAGCAGAAGAAAGGGAAAGGAGGTGACGAGGTCTCCGAAAATTCTCTTGAGGGCCTCTTGAAGGCCTCGTGGGGGAATTGTCTTGCAGCATCGCTCCCACTTGCCACGTGGACGGTGATGCCATGCTCTGCTGCGCCTGGTATTCCGTTCTGAGGCAGGCGTTGGGTTTGAAATGCGGCTGAAGGACGTGGAGGTGCGAGTGCAGCAGATTGCACACGCGTATCGCGTATTGGTTGAGGCTTGGAGGCCTCGTGGGAAGATTGTCATGATGTAGCATCGCTGGCACTTGCCTGCAGCCGCGGGAACACGTTTAATGCACTCTGGGGCTTCTTGGGCACCTCTCGAGCTCCCTCGGGGGGGTCTTGAGAATCTCAGGAGACTCCTAAAACGCTCTCCGAAGGTTCTCCTGAGGGCGTTTCGGCGGCTGTGTCGGAGGATTGTCGTGCAGCATCGCTGGCACTTGCTTGCGCTCGCGAGGACACTTTGGAAGCCTCTTGGGGCCTTCCTGGGAGCCTCTTGGGATGTCTTCGAGAAACTTGTGTCGAACACAATTCAAAGCAACGCTCATGCAGAACCTACGGTTTGAATTCTCCCCCCCTTTCCCCCAAATGCAGTGTTGGTTTCGGATATTCCGACTTCGGGCCTCCGAGTGGTCTTCAAGGAACGTGCCAATTTTGAATTGCGGGAGAAGGGGGGAGTGCTGCTTAACTTTAAGTCGGGCCTGTCCCTCTACAGGTGGAATAGTCAAAAGTAGTATAAACAAAAAAAATAGTCAGGGGACGATTTTTGAGCATTATGGCTATGTTTGATTTGTTGTTGGGTATTTTCTATTTTTCGTCCAAAAACCTCTTGTAGGGGGACACGCCCGACCTACGCTTAACTTCTTCTCTCAACCGTACCTTCGGGGCACCTGGGGGCCTGCCGGGGGCCCTTTGGAGTTCTCTTGGGGCCCTCTTTGGGGCGTTCTGCTGGTGTGGGGGGGGCCATCTGTCGGAAAAGGGTTCGAAATTTCAGTTCGGGTTTCCCTTCTTCGGACCCTCGTGGGGGGGGGATGCTTCCTGGGCCGTCTCGTGGCCGTCCTGGGCCTCTCGACCCGGATCGTGGCAATCCCGAGAGCTGAATGGGCCGTTTTGGGCAGTGGGGAGGGTGAAAGGGCCGTGATGCCAACATCTTTTGACGTTTGAGTTTGGTTTCTTGGGGCCCATTGCAGCTTTATTTGTCTAGTTGGAGGCTATCGATAAGCCTTTGGGGAGTGTATGGAGGCCATTTTGAAACCTGCCACCCATGCATCCCGACTCGAATGACCTGTTCGAGCTCCATTCGGGTCCCTCGGGGTGTTCCTGGGGCGCTCTTGGGGGCCCGGGAATTCTGGTCATCCATGACCCCGACCGCCCAGGGACCGTCCGTTTTCAAATTATCGTAATGACATCGGAAACTGGAAACCATGCGACAATCAGCTCCAGGGCCCCAGAGCCCGCCTCTGTTGACATTACGGAGGAGGGTGTGGGGTCCTGTGATCGTCTTGTGGTTGTGCCCTGGTTGTCCCGTTGTTGTCTTGTGGCTGTCCTGCGGTTGTCCCGAGTGTTCTCCCGTGGTTGCCCCGTGGATATCCTGTGAATGTCCCGTGGTTGTCCCTTGCTGTCGCGCCTGCCGGTCATTGAGATTTGCACTCCAATGGGACGATCTTTCGCCTTGTGTTAGTAAGGGCCCTCTTGGGCGGTTTTCGGGCCGTCTGGGAGGATAGTGTGTCAGACTGGAGGCATCCTGGAGGCCTCTGCATGGCCGTCTGAAGCTGAGGGAAGTGCGAGCATGTGAAGACACCTGGCATCTTTCCAACGCCAGGGGAAAATTTATGAGTTTGGCCTCGGGCCGCACGGGGGGGCCTCTGATCGCCCGTTTCGGGCCGTCTTGAGGGCCTCTCGGACCGTCTTGGGGCCATCGTGGGCCGTCTTGGTTGCCTGCGCGGGCTGGCTTGGAATACGCAGCGCCGCCCGTCATCCTTCTCCTCCTAACTTTCCTCCTCATGTTCTCCCCATCCTCCCCCATCATCATCATCCTCCTCCTCCTCATCAGCATCATCATCATGTAACACCATCATCAGCCTCATCCGCATCCGCATCGTCATCATCATCATCGTCATCATCATCAGCAGCAGCATCATCAACCATCATCAGCATCATCATCATCAGCATCAGCATCATCGTCATCGTCATCGTAATCGTCATCAGCACCACCATCATCACCATCAGCATAGCATCATCATCATCATCATCATCAGCAGCATCCTCGTAATCATCATAATCAGCATAATCAGCATAATCAGCATCATCATTAAAATCATCATCATCACCACCATCATCAGCATCATCATCGTCATCATCATCACCACGACCACCACCATCATCAGCATCATCAGCACCATCATCATCAGCATCATCATCGTCGTCGTCATCGGCATCGTCATCGTCGTAATACTCAGCAGCATCATCATCATCGTCATCATGTGCATCTTCATCTTCATCTTCACCACCCTCATCCTCCTCCTCCTCGTCATCAGCATCGTCATCATCATTCGCATCGTCGCCATCATCACCATCATCAGCATTATCATCATCATCATCCTCATCATCCTCACCATCATCATCATCATCATCATCATCATCATCATCATCATCATCATCATCATCATCATCATCATCATCATCATCATCGGCGCCATCATCGTTACCGCGGTTTTTTGGACATACCTTTCACGCGCTTCGTGACCCCATCGGGCGCTCCACCGACGGCGCCAGTGGAAGGGTTTGCATACCACCACCGCGCAAAACATCAGCGCACCCATCACACGTTTCGCAGCCCCATGATGGAGTTCCACCGAATGCTTCAGTCAGAGGGTCCGCATGCCACCGACGCACCAATTTCGGCATACCCCTCACACGCTTCGTGGCACACAGGCAGCTCCACAGGAGGCCCCAATGGGAGGGCGCGCATGCCACCACCACGACCATTTCGGCACACCCCTCGCACGCTTTGCGGCCCCACATGGAGCTCCACCGAAGGCCCCAGTGGGAGGGCCACCACCGCGCCCACTTCGGCGCACGCATCACACTTTTCGTGGCCCAAGTTGAATTCCACCGAAGGCGCCGTGGGATGACCCCAAAACGCTTCGTGGCACAATCGAGAGCTTCACCGCAGGCCTCAGTCGGGGGGCGCACATGCCACAACCGCGCCTCGTTCGGCGCACCCTTGACACGTTTCGTGACCCCATATAGAGTTCCGCCGACTGCCCCAGTGCAAGGGTCCGCATGCTACCACCACACCCAATTCGGCACACCCCTAACGTTTCGTGGCCCCATATGGGAGCTCCGCCGAAGGCGACACTCACAATTGCACATGGTTGGGGCCTTCGTTTGGTTTTTGTACACAGGGATCGTAGCTCCAGGAGCTCGGATCGTGGCTTCGCGACCACGGACTCCTTGCTTTTTACAGGGGATCGTGGGATCGTGGACTCGGGAGGGTGGCGATGCACTCAGAAGTCTTCTTCAAGAGGAGTGGAGCCCTTAGAACAGTACAGAAGCCCTACCAGGCAACCCCAGGTTCTACCACGCCTCAACGTGCCAAGGAGCATAGTGATGGACATAATGCCGAACATGTCAGCCGTGTTATTTAATTTATTTGGTTGGAGTATCGAACACGTTTCTGGCCCCGTGGGCCCGCGAATTCAGGTGTGCAGGATGTGTGTCCACATGCTTAGGGTTGTAGCATGAGTGCCAATCATGTGCCTGTGCATCGAGCAAGGTCGACTATTGCATGCAATGCTGGGACAAGGCGCCGTTGCCATCTTCGCTTGGTGCATGGTGCTCCAGATTGAGTTCGCAAAGGCAGATGGCAGATGAGCACTGTGTATGTGCCATAAGCACCACGACATCGCGAATCCAGCCTGCAGCATGTATTTGCAGTGTTGCGTCACCACAAATATTGAATTACGTCTTGTCGACATCCATCACTCCAGTAACACAGACAAGCTGCATATGCGCACAGTGTCAATCTGGTATCTTGCCATGTGTTCCTGGGCTTTCCATGTTCATGCGTTCATGTGGCGAGCACGCAGACACAACCGATGCTGCCATCGCCGCCGAACTTGGAGTGCAAAGTCTGCGTCTGAGCAGGCTCTGGCCAAGAGCTTCAACGCATGCGCCAAGGCTGCGCGGAGGGGCCTCTTTGTCGGGTGCACTCTCCGTGCCATGCAGTGCCGTGTCTACGATGGCGTCATTGTTCTCCACATGCCGGGGCGTGCTCTGCGTGGCAAGCTGGGCCGTGCAGTGCTGAGCTCGGCGCGCCACGTCGGCCCCACCTCCCGAGCAGCCTCGCTCCTCCGATGACACTGTCCGTGCACGCCCGCCGGCCTGCACAGGACAAAGAGTGCACATCTCCAATCGGCGCGGCGAGGGGAGCGAACTGTCACGTTCGTCCTTAGGTCCGTGGCTGTGGTGGACTCTGAGGGCAAAGATTGTCGACCCTCCGTCTCCGGAGGGCACTTTGGATTTCCTTGGAGTCGCGGAGTGCTCTTAGACGCTTGTACCATGACGACGCCCTGGGGTCTCAGGGTTGGGCTTCTCGTGGAAGGTTTCTCGTGAACTGGCCTCCACTGGAGACCCAGCACGGGCGCTTATTTTGCAAACGCAATCGAACGCTCTAGTAGCTAAATTCGAGGGCGCCTCAACGTGCGCACGAGCCCACTGGGCGAAGGTGGTTTTCACGGTGCTTCCTCATCGCTTTCCGTCAACCTTGGGAATGCGAGGGCGAGGGGGGCGCGCTTCGACGCTTTGATGCCAAGACGCTTGCGCCATGATGGCCGAGTGGACCAAGTCGTGACCTTGGGCGCCCCAGGCTGCTGCAGCAATTGGGGGGGGGCCCACGGTTCTGGCCTTCCGGCCCACCGCGGTGCCAAGGAACGGAGGGGATGAGGGGGAGGAGGAGGAGGAGGAGGAGGAGGAGGAGGAGGAGGAGGAGGAGGAGGAGGAGGAGGAGGAGGAGGAGGAGGAGGAGGAGAGGAGGTAGGAGGGAGGAGGACGAGGAGGAGGGAGGAGGAGGGGGGGAGGAGCAGGAAGAGGGAGGAGGAGGAGGAGGAGAGGAGGAGGAGGAGGAGGAGGAGGAGGAGGAGCAGGAGGAGGATGAGGAGCAGGGAGGAGGTATTTTCCCCAGCCCCGTTCGAACCTGGCGTGGAGGAGGTGATGAGAGAGCCACTGGAAAGGAGGAGGAGGAGGATCAATGACACACGCGTCGCGGTTCATACCATACGTGTTGCCCGTTTTGCTTTTGTGCAAACTGGTGGCGATCAATCAACAGCAACACGCTCATGGGATCGCCTCGACGACATGTCATTTATATGGTTGTTGTTATCCGAATGCGTGTTACTCCCTCTCCGTCCCCTCCTCCGTTCTTCCCCTTTCGCTGTGGAACTGGTGCGGCTCGCCGACTCGCACCGTCCCAGGTTTGAAGCCGAGGGCGGGGGCAAGAGGTGGCAAGCAGATCGCAAGGAACAGATTAGCAGTGACCAGATCGGGGCAGTCCGAGATGGCATTCTTGGACACATGGACGGAGTTGTCGGAAGCAGTTGGTCACCCCGTGTTGGGTTACCGAGTGATGCTTCGGCGGTTGAGCGGGGCACTTTTGCCCCACCACATTGTGGGGCGGGTTCGTGGGTTCAGCCGCAGGGCAAAGCCTTTGCACAGGCGTCTACGACATTCGACCGAGGGATGCACAAGAGGATTGAAGGTGTGCAGTGTGGCGCTGTGGTGGATGTTCCAGCACTGCAGCTACATAGAAATCGGTTGAAAATGCAGCAGCGCGCGCGCGCGCGCGCGTGTGTGTGTGTGTGTGTGTGTGTGTGTGTGTGTGTGTGTGTGTGTGTGTGTGTGTGTGTGTGTGTGTGTGTGTGTGTGTGTGTGTGTGTTTGTGTTTGTGTTTGTATTTGTGTTTGTGTTTGTGTTTGTGTGCGCGCGCGTGTGTGTGTGTGTGTGGTTGTGTGGTTGTGTGTTTGTGTGTTTGTGTGTGTGTGCGGGTGTGTACGTATGTGTGCATGTCTGTGTGTGTGTGGTGTGTGTGTGGTGTGTGCTGGGTGGTGTGTGGTGTGTGGTGTGTAGAGTACGTCGCACAGTTTGTTGATGGCACCGCCAGTGTAATTGATGTTTGCAAGTGTGTTCCTGGGCAGAAGGAGGAGGAGGACGAGGAGGAGGAGGAGGAGAAAGGAGGAGGAGGAGGAGGTGGAGGAGGAGGAGGGAGGAGGGGGAGGAGGAGGAAGGAGAGGAGAGGGAGAGGAGGAGGAGGAGGAGGAGAAGGAGAAGAGGAAGCAGGAGCAGGCGCAGGAGCAGGAGCAGGAGGAGAGGAGGCGGAGGGGGAGGAGGGAGGGGGAGGAGAAGGAGGAGCAGGAAGAGGAGGAGGAGGAGGAGAAGGAGGAGCAGGAGGAGGAGGAGGAGGGAGGGAGAGAGCGCATACATCCGACGACACATTCTTTGCACGATCACTTCTCCGCTACCGGCTTTTCATTGTGAGTCATATGTTGACGGCTCTTGGGCCCAGCAAGGGCCCGCAGAGGCCGAAGATGCCCCCAAACTTCCCGTCGCGAGATTTCACGACCCGAGGGGCACGGGGGGAGAGGGAGAGCACGAGGACGGGGGGAGGAGGACAGGAATGAGGAGGAGGAGGAGGAGGAGGAGGAGGAGAGGAGGACGAACACGAGGAGGAGGAGGGGAGGCGGAGGAGGAGGGGGGAGGAGGAGGACAGGGATGAGGAGGAGGACGAGGAGGAGGAGCAGCAGGAGGAGGAGTAGGAGGAGGAGGACGAGGACGAGGACAAGGAGACCAGGACTAGGACGAGGAAGAGGAAGATGAGGAGCAGCAGGAGGAGGAGGAGGAGGAGGAGAAGCAAGAGGAGGAGGGGGAGGAGGAGGAGGAAAATAATAACAAGAAGATTCGGAGGAGGAGGAGGAGGAAGTAGGAAGAGGGAGGAGCGTGGAGGAAGAGGACGATGATGAGGAAAAAGAGGGCGGGAGGAGTCAGGAGGAGGAGGAGGAGCAGGAGGAGGGGAAGAGGAGGAAGAGGACGGGGACAAGGAGACGATAACTAGGGCGAGCAAGAGGAAGACGAGGAGCAGCAGGAGGAGGAGTAGATGGAGAAGGAGGAGGCGGAATAAGGAGCGTAAACATAGTAACACTAGACGAATATTACGAATACGAATATTACTACTACCAATGTTAGTAGTCATATGGGTAGCAATGGTATTTTTAATACTACAACATATTAAAACATACTAACATATAACATACTATAATATAATAGTATATCATACAATATAATACAATGCAATATCGTATACCATAATATACTATATAGTAAAGTACTATAACATAATACATTTAATGTAATATAATGTAATATAATATAGAATAATATAATATAATATAATGCAATACACTGTAATATAATATGTGACGATACGATATACTATATTATCGTATATTATAATAAAATATAATACGCTATATTATGATGTATTATGGTATGATATATTATGATATCGTATAACATAATGTACTAGAATGTAATACAACATAACATAATATACTACAGTATAATGTTATATACTATAATACAATATAATATATCATATTATAGTACAATATCGTATGACATAAAACAGTATACATTATATATTATAATATAGTATCTTGTAATATAATGTAGTATAATATAGTATAATACATTATGATATAATTTAATATATTATATCATAATGTATTATATAGTATATTATAATATAACATAACATAATATAATAAACATTTTCATAACAGTACGAGTACTGATTCCAGAGAAGAGACCCAGTCATAATCTTGTTTGGGCTACAGGGCTATAGGGTTATGGGGCTATAGGGCGAAAGGACAATAGGGCAAACCGGCTATGGGGCTATAGGACTATAGGGCTATAGGTTTATAGATATACAGGGCTATAGTGCTGTAGGGCTATCGGGCTACAGGCTATTTAGCTATTGGTCTATAGGGCTAGTGGGCTATAGGTTTATAGGGCTATAGGGCTAGAAGGGCTGTAAGGGCTATAGGGCAATCGGGCTATAGGGCCAAAGGCTATAAAGCTACAGGGCTATAAGGCTACCAGACACCTCTGGGCACCCGGGCGTGCCGCCGAAATCGGCGCCGCAGCTAACCTAACCATATGAATCTGCTGGGACCCCTACAGAGGCAAGCTCTGAATGGGAATAATGATATTATCAATAATCATATCAATAATCATGCTCCTAGAATCAGTCATACTACGAATAGTAAACCTGATACTGATAATAACAACAAGAATACGGAAACTAATAATATCAAAATACGGGTAAACATAACTATCATAATCACAAAACGAATGACGAGAAGATGAAGAGGAGAAGGAGAAGGTATGAAGAGGGAGGAGGGAGGATGAAAAGGATGAAGAGGAACAAATAACGGGAGGAGTGAGTAGGAGGAGGAGGAGGAGGAGAAGGAGGAAGAGGAGGAGGAGCAGCAGGAGGAGCAGGAGGAGGAAGAGCAGGAGGAGCAGGAGGATGATGATGAGGAGAAGGTGGAGGAGGAGGCGGAGGAGGAGATGGAGCGGGACGAGGGGGGAGGAGAAGGAGGAGGAGGAGGCGGAGGAGGAAGAGGAGGAGGAGGAGGAACGACAGCCAGTCGTGGACAAGGACTAGGGGGATGAGGACGGGAGAATAGGAGAGGAGGAGAAGGAGGAGGAGTAGGAGGAGGGACGAAGAGGAGAGAGGAGGAGGCGGAGGAGGAGGAGGGCAGGAGGTGGAGGCGGAGGAGGAGGAGGCGGAGGAGAAAGAGGATGAAGAGCAGTTGGAAAGGAGCAGGATGAGGTGCATAAGGAGGTTAAGGATGAGGAGGAGGAAGATTTGATGGAGAGGAAAAGGAGGGGAGAGGAGGAGAGGAAGGGAGGCGTGAGGAAAGCGAGGAGGGAGATGGAGGGAAAGATGAGGAGAGCAGCAGCAGCAGCAGCAGCAGCAGCAAGCAGGAGGAAGAGCAGGAGCAGGAGGAGGAGGACGAAGAAGAAGAGGCGGCCGCGGAGGGAGGAGGGATGAGGGAGGAGGAGGGAGGAGGGAGGAGGAGGAGGAGGAGGAGGAGGACGAAGAGAACGAGGAGGAAGAGCAGAAACAAAGGAGGAGGAGGAGGAGCAGAAAAAAAGGAGGAGGAGCATCCTGGTGATGATGATGATGATGATTAAGATGATGATGATGATGATGATGATGATGATGATGATGATGATGATGATGATGATGATGATGATGATGATGATGATGATGATGATGATGATGATGATGCTGATGCTGA